CTACTAAGTGAAGTAAGGTTAGATTTGAAAATATAAAATAAATGATTTCTTCTTTTCAAAATGTCATGTGTTCTGAAAGAAATTTATTTTATCAAGACAATTTATATTTTGGAAGAAAAAGTGTGATCGTCGATCTTATTACGATATATACAGTATGTTGAAGGAACTAATTTTCACAAAAATCATTGTAATCTTTGTCAAATATTTTGTGTGATATTATCGGATGTCAAAATAAGAAACTTAACCTTATATAGCATTTAACGAATAAAGTGTAAATGAATATTATTCATCTATGATGTATGTGCATGAAAAATAAATATCTTGTATTCATGGGTTTAAAGTAAACTGAATGTGGGTAAAGTCTTATCATTAGGACGTAAAATATATTGGCAAAAAGACAAAAATATAAGATGTTCAAACTTCAAACCATTCAAACTCTAGGACAAACTAACCGACCCTACAGATTGGTTGACCAAATATAAGGAGGACCAAAAAGAGCAAATTCTCAATACTTCACACAATCACACTACAGGAGTCTTTTCTTACCTTCATAGAACATAAAAACAACAAAATAAACTTAAGAAAAAAAATTAAAATCCAGTTAAACTGGCCTTTCATTGCCTTAGATATCTCTACAGTATAAGAAGAGATTAATGGTTTGATACCAATATTAGCAAAAGATACATACATGTCGATGTATATGAACAAGAAGGAATAAGAAGAGATCATTAATTTGCAAGTAAAGAAAAAATGTTAAACGGGATAGGGCACGACGGGTTAAAACTTTATCGGAGAAAGTCTTGATACACTTTTGTCTATGATTCGGCAGAACTCAGTAACTTTGGCTAAAATCTTGTATTTTTGTTAAAATTTTTACTTAATATGTATAATTAATATATTCAACCAATAAACTGCCTTTTTTAGAATCAAGAATCCATAAACTCAAAATTCTAATTGCCCCTTTGTCATCCCTACCTCGAATACTTGTGCATGCACATGTTTAATAATTTTTCTAGCAAGATATTGAAGGATCACAATAACCTTCGGACAACCTCAAAATTTCCTCCAAATAGTCAGCTCCTAAATCCTCCAAAACCAACACATTTTCAAAGCTCATCCCTTTTTCCTTCTTCTTTCTATTCATATTACTCTTACCTTTTTTCATAGAATGCATTTTCTTCAGTATCAAAACAGGTGAACATCCTTCTTCAAATCCACACTCCATCTCCATTAACGATTGATAAACAACATCCACTGGAAAATTTAACACTGCCGTTGTCCCATGCAACGCGAACGCGGCTTGATCATAAGCCAAAGCTGCTTCTTCTGCAGTATCGAACGTTCCAAGCCAAACCCTAACGCTATTTCTAGTTGAATCTCTTATTTCCGCCGCGTATTTTCCCCATGGTCTCCTTCTTACTCCTCTATAATTTGCTCCTTCGTTCTCTTTCAAGTGTGTTTCTTGTTTATTGACATGAAGATTATTATTAGATGAATTTTCACCAGCTTCTGATAGAACATTGAGAAGAAGCATGTCTTCAGTGTCATTCTCATTGAAACCAACATGATTATACTGTGAATAATCCATTGTTTAAACTGTCACCACTAAAAAAACTGGAATTAGCAACGGACAAATTCTGTAGCTAAACAGAAAAATCCGTCGCTAATCTTATTTAACGATAGATTATCAAGAAATTTTATTAGCTACGAGCAATTTAGCGAAAGATTAGTGACGAATTTAAGTTCGCAGCTAATTTTTTTTTTTTTTTTTGGTAGTGTGTGTTTTGAATTTTTGATGTGATATTTGATCAATGTGTGTTTTTGGTTTTTTGAACTTAGGGGAAGGATACGTTCTATATATAGAGATTGATATGTGCACACGAGGGGTTTATTAGAATATGTGTTAAAATAAAAGTTGATGGAAAGATAGTCTAATGATCAAAATTTATGTTTGAAATTCAATTGATTGAGACAGTGGAGTGTGGTCTTCTTATTAGAGTAGTAATAGGGGCTGCAGAAATTAACCAAAAAATAATTAGTGCACGTGTGGTCAACTGGTCATATGTTGGTCAAACGAATTTTTGGGAATGGCGGCCAGCTCATGAAACCATATATTAAAAAATTAATAATAGACTCATGATCTCAGCACTAATGACTTCATTCGGTCTTCATTTGGTCCCCTTTTTTTCATTACCATTGTTTTTCTTCTTTTGCCCATTTCTGTAATTCTCTTATACATGATTAAATTATCATTTCAGAAAATGTATTAATCAAATGAAGAGATGTTTTCACTTGACACAGTCATGCACATAGTTTTTGTGAGGGTGGGGTGGGGGCTAGTCTATATATAATTGAAAATAACCTGAATATTCATCCTAAAACGTTAAGACAATAATGCATGGATTAGACTAAAACTATTATAAATACTTTACAGAAAACAAGTGTAACATTCTCAATACCCTCTTGCATTGGAAGAAAGAAACCCAAAGAGATGGTGTATAACCAGTACTGGTATTACTTATACATAGTGAAAAAACACTACCAAAACAAGGAATTAATAATACCAAAACTAATAACATATACTATTATTTTTCCTAATACATCCTACCAAGCGACCCCTTAGTGTATCTTAATCTATTATAGTAGATAATCTGGCCGACATGTTTATTAGGCTACTAATTCAACCTTTTTATGGCCAGGTACTAGTAGTTACGATCTCTCAGATAATTTGATAATGTAAAAGTTCTTTTGTTTCTGTATAGAAGCTAAACTCTTTTTTTTTTTGCCCTACTTGATGCTAGCAAGTGTAATCTCTCGTAAAAAGGTAACTTCAATTGTGCGAGCATGGACAATAAGTTGAAGAAGAAACAGTCGTGACTAAGAGATGATCATTGTATAATCGATAGTTAAATTTTGCTTTTAAAAAAAAAGATAGTTTAATTTTGCTAGTCAAATATCATTATGAAGCATATCCAATAGTAAGAATAATTCTTGAGTGAGTTCTTTCATTAATTATTGTCCTAGTTAATGATGGTAAAACCATGATATTATTGTGCTGTCGTCAAAATATGTTTAATTAAATGCTTTGATGGATGATAAGTAAAGTGTATGAGGGTCAACATTACTATTCATAAGATATCTTAAAATATACTAAACATCTACCAAACCGCTCTTTTGTGAGCAACTGAACGCATTAAAAAAAATAAACCATTCTTCGTATTCACATTACTCTTGCAAGAGTTAGTCAATTCTCATACCAAATGTATCACATAGTAAATATATAGAAGAATTGATTATTAATTTTAAAACCTAAAGCTGAATTTATTTGTATAGAAAATAGCCAAAAACAGTAATAAAAGTTATAAGAATAAATTGACAAGAATTATATTGGCGAAAAAAATTACTCCTACTCTATCTGTGTTTGCATTGGATCAATTTATTTAACCTTAGTGAATAATCTGTTAATCCATCATAATGTAGTGATACACGTGCATCTAACACACTATTAAAAGAAAAGAAATTAGTGACGGACAAATTTTGTAGCTAAACAGAAAAATATATGTCACTAATTCTATTTGACGACGGAATAGTAACATACTATCAAAAATTTATGTTAGCTACAAAACGATTTAATTAGCGACAGATTAATGGTGAAGTTCACAGCTCATTCTAGTTTTTTTTTTTTATAGTGACAAACACATCACAATATTAATCTATTGTTATTCTTAAAGAAGGAAAAAAAAGAAAGAAGAAAAAAACCAATTTCTTTTTTATTTTATTGACCAATCAATTCATATATGGATTACTTGGTCTAAAAACCTCAAAATCGTTTGTGATTTTCAGGAGCATTAGTTGCATGGCTTTTTGATGCAATTTTTTCAGGTGCTGAACTTTGGAAATGAAATTAAAAGACAGTACATTGAAGATGGACATATATAATATAATTCCTAGTCACTTTTCCCTGGTCAATATAACGGCCTATTTTCCCCACAAGAAGTTGGTCACCTTTCTATTCAAACTCTTATTTGGTCTTCATTATTATCCTCTTCCTTTTATTTTCCTTCAAAAACGAAAGCAAAATTGGGTTCCCTAATTTGTAATTTAGCCGATACTATAATATAATTAAGAAAATAATCCACTATTCGTTTTGAATTAAGGTTTTTTCATTACTTATTAAAACCTTATAAAGTTTGGACGTTACTTCTCCTGCCACGATAGAATTTTTTTTATGTCTTACTTTCTTTTTCAATATGTTTAAACAAAAATGCTATATTTTTATATTTAACACATTAAAATTTTAATTTCAACATTTTATTTTATCCATATTGACACTCATTTATAGAAATGATATGACATGTTGAAAAAGAATCACCAGATTCAAAGGGTATTTTTAACATATATATTATATATACTTTTAGTATAAGATCATAAAATTCAGAAATAATTTTTTTTTATATTTTTAAACTTGATGCTCACTCAAACTAAAATAACATAAAACGATACAGATGAATACAAATTTTATCCATGACTATGAATAAAGTTCATGTTTTTTTAATCAAAAGTGTTTTTCCCATAGATGCATTCACTTCTTTTTTTTCTCTTCCAGAAGTTTTTGAATGTCAGAATAATAGTTCCAAAGAAGTCTTTGAGAAATGGTCAAAAAGTTTCTTTGTAAATTAAATAATGTATGAAAGACAAGTGGGAGAATTAATTGAGTATGACACTTTTTGGGTTCAGTATAGGAGTGGAGGATGAATTTAGCATAATTATTGGAAGTTTGAATATTTCTTGTTTGACTTGGAGAGGGAGGAAGAAATTTGTACTATTGCTAGGGAATGAATGTTAACATCAACCAACCTAATTTTCAACAAATATTCTGGTTTGGGTTTAAATTCCTACTAATAATAAGGTGATCGATCGATATTGTTCATGTAGTCATGTTTAATCTTTGTTTTCTAAAAGCAAGAAATATTTAAATTAATTTTTAACATTTTTTTGTTACTCATTTAGTTCGTATTCAATACCCTCTAGAGCTCGAACCTAAACCTTTTGTTAAGGGTGGAGGAATCTCATTCATCTCATCATATTCCTTAGTGGTAATTGTTTATATTATTTCTTAATTGCCTTTTATATAATCGAAGACATGTAAATTAATTTATTGAGGTACATAAATGTATCCTTCTAAAACAAATTATGTACGTTTTTTTTTTCCAAAACGAAGATCTTTATATTACTGCTCATACGAACAACAAAGTTCAAATGTACTCTTCGCATCCTGGACAACCCAACTTGAAAAAAGCTTCTCCTCAAAGATGTCCTTCAACAAAGAAATAATAATTCTAGCTAAACTATGAGCTATTTTGTTCAAACGTCAAACCACTTCTTCTTAGCATTGTGTCTTCTTCATCTTCAGACCTTCAGGTTTGATATTTGAATGTCAAACTATAAATCGCAGGACTGAAGTTCGAATACATATTAAATCTTTTTCTTGTTGTTCTAAAGTTAGACTTTGGTAGTTCAAACTTCAGAACCGAAGGTGTGAAGTTTAAAACTTCAAACCTATGGTCTTAAGTAGTGGCCGAAAAAGGATTTTCAATGAAGGAAGTCAAAATATAAAGAAGTAAATATATGAAAAGTCAATGAAACTCAATATATAATATATATACATTTAAAGAAAGTTTACCTATCTACCTAGCCTGACTGAGGAAGTATACTATGTGTAGTGATTCCCTCATTCACAATAAATGATAAACAAAAAGAGAAAAAGAAAAACCATTCCATTTCTACAAAAAATACAATGCAATTTTCCGCGAAGGGGTATCAAAGGTGGCTCCCCACTTGTCTCAAGTTTGATCCTAAGGCGACTAAACTTTAGATACAATTTCGGGTAGTTTTTAAATGGCTATTTGTGCACCACCCGAATTAGAAAGGATATGGGCCTCAAAGATTATTTACGGAAGAAATTCAAAAATAGCGAAATTTACAACTAGTCGTTCAAAAATAGCTCAGTTTCAAAAGTAATCGAAATTTAGCCACTTTTCATGTAAAGATAAATCTGAGCGAAAACACTGTTCAAAATCCGAAAAATACACGCCAGTATATTATACTGGAGTTCCAGGATAAGTATGCTTGAACTCCAGCATAATATGATGGAGTTCCAGGATAAGTATGCTGGAACTCCAGCATAATATGATGGAGTTCCAGCATAAGTACAGTAGAACTCCAGCATAATATACTGGAGTTCATATACAGGTGCACCGAACTCTAATATATTATGCTGGACCGGTCTCTGTTGCAGCGAAATAATGGCTATTTTTCATTGACTTCGTAAACGCTGGCTATTTTTAAATGATCAGTCCAAAAACTAGTTATACCGTGCTATTTTTACATTATTTACCGCAAATTGTTTATGGGCTGAAAAGCTAGTTCAATGAAGTCAATATGTCCAGCCGGTTTATATGGTTCGTGGTTCGACTTTGTTATTGGGCTCTCAAGAGAAAATTATGCAGACACATCAAACATTTAGATTGTATTTACCATTCGTAGTTATACTTTCAGTAAACTTACCATTCGTAGTTGTATTTAAAT